TTGGATCATTTACTGCAACCGTGGTTGTCGTGGTAGTTATGGACGCTTTCCATGAAGTGATCCGCTGGCTGCTAAAGAGAGATGACATCCGTTACGGTACTCATTGAATAAAAAAAATCGTTTTTTTTATTACATTCATTGTATCAAGCGTGAGGACATCAGTAGTTGAACTAAACTACACTATTAAAATATATTTACACTGGATATAACTACTGAATTTTTCTTTTGCTTGGCCAACCAAGTCATGCAAAAAAATCCACACAAAATTTACGTAAGAACCGAGTTACATTAACTTACACAAGCAAGAGCAAACGGTTCGCTTTACACATAAATGCCTAAAGCTGAAACTGTTTTTAAGTCTTCTTATGACCAACAAGCTTTTTTAAAACGCGGAAAATCCGCCTCTTTTTTCACTGTAGATATGATTTAACTCTTCTCTCTTTGGTGATTGTTTGGTCATCGGCAAAATTTAGGGATCAATTCTTTGCCGAGGGTTCTCTGACGAGACTCAACAATTTCTCCATTTTTGCCATTTCGTTTTCGGGACCCTTCGCTTTCTCCTGAAAAAAGAGAAAAGATTTCGTGTCAACTCCCATGCCAAAAGAGAGTTCTTAAGACCTTATGTTACGTTGCGTTACAGGATACAACGAGTGTTTTGCCAGCGTCTCTAACGAGTGAGAACGAGTAACAAAGGTGAAAGGAAAACGGTGTGCAAACGTGCTCTAGGTTATGGTTAATATCACATTATTTATAACTAGTAGATGCTTAGGCCACGACGATAAAGTCAAGTGTTGAAAACGTTTGCAGAGCTTGAAAACATGTAAAAAGAATTGTCGTATAATATGAAAGGTTTGACGACCAACTTCTTCCCTGTCAAGGAAAGAAGATCAAGGAACTGACTAATAGAAAAGGAAGAGAAATACCATCTACAATGTCCAATATATTGTGATAAGTGTTAGGGAGTCAAATACGATATGCGCAAAACAGAATAGGAACCACGAGGATAGGCAGAATAGGAAAAGAAAGAATAAGAAAACCAGCCGAGATGACGGGAATTATTTATTTTGAAATATACCATGAGAAAGCGATATCTTTAAGCTGTTGAACTTTCCATATTGTAAACACATATTTTCTTGACAACTTTAAGCAAATCATTGACATACAACATGCCGATCATTCAAGAATCGCAGAGTGCCAAGGAAGCGAGGAAAAGGAAAAAAGGCCTTTTAACTGTTGGTCTTACAAAACAGAATTTGAGGTCAAGTTTAAGAATGGAAAGCTTAAGAAGAAAAGTATCATACGGGTATGAAGACAATCGGAGGCGGCGAGATTGGCTCGTCGTCCGAATCCGTAGCTTGAGTGAGTACAAGAATGGGTATTTCCTCCTTCAAAGAACGAATCAGCGACATAGTGAGTTAGTATGTTATTGGCCAGCGTGTAAACAACGTGTAGAATCCATGAAGGCAAACGTTAGAGAGAAAAACATAATGAGTTAGTGCCTCGTCAGATGCAAAGTGCAAGACTTTTCATGTATGTATATCACTTGTTCAAAATATAACCCGTGGAAGACGTTGATCGCCTTTTCAATCACGGGGTTTCTTCGCTTTTTTTTTTAATCACTCGCCCACATTGTCGTGAGGAAAGTTTATATCGTCTGCCGGGGAAAACCATACTCCAATTCCCTCCCACGGATCCCGACGAAATTGCGGCGAAATCCCGTGAGGGATACCGGCGGGATTCCTATGGATTCTAGATCGAAAAGGGAAGTCAAAGAATACTGGTACAATGAACCAAAATGAAATTTAAGTTAACTTTCACTTAGTGGAAGTTGAGGAAGAATCGGAAGGGAGAGTCATCGGGAAAAAGTACAGACGGGGAGGAGTACGGGACAGAAACGGTGGTGTAGAACGAGATGAAACCGAGGAATGGATAGGAATATCAGGGATGAGTTGTAGAACGAGAAGCAGGAAAGGAAGAAGAGCATGAGCACTGAAGGGGACGACGAGGTCAGATCGGTAATAGGTGCAATGGGGGCGATGTTATATAAATTTGTTCGAGAAACCCATAGGGTGATAAAGACTTTTTCGGCTGCACTTGTCAAAAAAACAACTGCTGCACTTTTATTAGTGGACATACCTTGGGCTGCGTGGCTTTTCTGAGATTTGGTGACAGCTTCAACGATGTCACATACCCTCTGTGAAACGAAATAAAATGGAATCTACTTTAGACAAAGGTTGAAGAGCGAAGAATCAAGAAATTTACGATTGCTCTCAATCATTTTCGAAGATCGTTAACAAGATCTTCGACAATCGTACAACCTTTCGGCAAAGAATTTTTAAAGCCGTGCGAAAGGTTTGTTCATAGTAACTTTTTTCCGATTCAAAACAAGTAGATGAGAGTTGACGAGCTGAGAAAATTTCAATTACCTGTCGTCTCCCACAATAAGCACTGGGTACTCCGGGTTAAAAGCCAAGTGAGTCAGCTTTGTTCTCTTCTTGTTAGCCACTGTAAACAGGAAAAAGATTGCAATTATTCCTTTTACTGCGTGAGAGAATCGAGGGCCTGTTGGCTGGCTGGGTTTAACTCCAGATCGAGCGGTCTGGGTACCAGCCCTACTAAGATCGTTGTGTTGTGTTCCCATCCCACCCTTCCCAGGACAAAAAAAGGTACTGGCGAACTGTCGGTAAAACCTGAAGAAAAAAAAATAGAAAAGCCTGAGGGGGGTGGGGAAGAAAGGTAACCTGTGACAGAATTTCATCTCATCCTACAGAGCGGTTCATGGGCCGCTAGGCTTTTAAACTTCACTTGTCTCCCTTTACTTGAGTTCAAGGTGGTTCACAACAATGTTTTCTGGTTTGTCCGCACAATAAATTAAAGCGTCGTAGTTCACCGCCAGGTATTAAACCTACCTGATTGTTCGCTTAGAGGTTCATACTTGTTCACGTTCAGATCGTACACATAGACCTGAAACAATAATCATAACGTTCATCAGCTCTGAGAAATTTTCAGGGAAAACACGTGTTGAGTTCAAAACACATCTCCATTTTCAATTGGAGTGTCGAAACTGATGTGGGATCACTGTGGCTTTGCTTTGCCCCGTGAATGATAGGTTCAGAACTGTCGCGCACCACCCTTTCAACCAATCACACGCAAAACGTAGGCTAATCATGACTTCCCTGGCATGGGAGCGTTTACATGGATACACTCTCAGTTCTCATCGCGAACGAGTGAGAGAGATATCGAGTTGATCACAAGAATAGAAACTCCATATCTACAAGCTGCCATGCATAACTTTACTTATCATTTAAACACCCTTGACCTTTATTTCATTCGCTCTGACGAAGGGCTAACGCTCAAAACGGCAGCTTAGTAAATCTTAACGATGGCCATTTTACATTACCATCTTAGTTGATAAAACCAAATTATCTTGTTATACTTCTACACCGACTCAGCACCACAATTTCTTTAGAAACTTATCCCCTTTATTACTAAGGAATGAACCTGACAGAAGAGCGCGAAAGGCGAGTAACGTGTCAGCAGCTGATTAGCGCTATCAAACACACGTAAAAAAATTATCGTAATTTTACATGTGAGCAGTTACGGCTTTTCTAAGGGCTAATAATCCTTGTGAAACACCGCAGTTTATCTACCAAAACAATGTAACACTGTATTGTATCTTACCCGTCCATCAGTCGTACAGGCGGCAAACACTGTGGAAGCATAAGGCGCCCAGGCCACATCACCGACAGAGTTGTTCAGATCAAAGGTAAACATCGGCTCTCTGCGTGAAGAAAACGAGGGATAAGTGATGAGCTAACAATTCATAAGATGAAATCAGATGTATGACTAAGACGATGTGTCATAGCTATAGATCTACTAAGGGCTGTCACTAACTTTCAGAGCGGTCAAGCTGTCGTGGACGTAACGTTATTTTGTCAGATCACACGCAAAAATGTTCATTTGAAATGTCCCTAGCATCCCACGAGGTTCGTTCGAACCTAAAAATAAATTCTGAACGAAGAATCACTTCATAAATCCACACCCCAAGCCGTTTTGATTGATTGATTTTCAATATTCGTAGCTACATTTGCAGTTCTTAAAAATTTTCATCCCATTTATAAGCTTTGAGAGCTTAAAAATTTTAGTAAAGACACTCCTATAGCTAAGACTTCTTACTGATAATGGTGATCCCAAATCTTCACTGTCCAGTCTGCACTACACGAGATAAAAATCTTTGGGTGGAAATGATTCCATTTGACAGAGTAAACTGCCATGTGATGTGCCTACAGAAAGAAAGAGAGTCGAGTGATAAGAAAAGAGATTGGCAAGATAAGCTCATTAAAACTTTGGTAGACATTTTGACATGGACATGAAGTGACTGGGAGTCCTGGCGGAGGGTGGCACTGTGGGAGTCCTGTGTCATGTCCAAGAACACCACACAATGCCCCAGCCAGGTTCTCTCACAATGTAGCGCGCTAAACGGAAGCTTCCCCGTCTCTCACGATTTCTAGCGTAGTAAAATTTATTTTATTAAGTTAAGAATCGACATTGTTATATAAAGTTTGTAACGATCTGATTTCCTATAAATGTAAAGATTTTGATGGAATCAATTCAAGTTAGAGTGAATAAATGCTATTCCCAGCGTGCGAATAAACGAAAAAAGTAAAAACAACTACAACCTCAGGCCATGATGCTGGCAAAAGAGTTGAAAATTGAAGGAAGATACGTACATCATAAGTCTCGAGGAACTGGCTTGAATAAGTTTTGGAGCACTTGTGTATCTTTCCTTCCTCTGTGCCTGATCATGAAAAGAAGAAAAAGTGTTTAAAAAAAGTTTACGATTAGGGCACTTTTTGATCAACGTAAAACCAAATTAACCACCAGGGTCATTCAGAACAAAAGAAAATACCACAATCAGTCGACGAGAACTTAAAACAAAAACCAGCAAAGTACCTAATCAAGTCACGATTGGTCACAGTTTTGTTCTAACTCGAGTGCTTTTCGATTGAGTGACGTAAAACAAAACCAAAGTAATCACAGCGGCCAATCAGAAGACAGGAAAATACCTTGGAGAGCCAATGAGAAATCAAAGTCAAAACAACCAAACTGCCTCAAGCGCGGGAAAATGCAGGCGACCAAGTCGTGATTGGTTTGACTGAGTTTTGCATCTGATTGGTTGGAAGAGTGGCGCGAGTTTTCTGTACTAATCACATGGCGCAGTAAACCAAACCCAATGCAATCTCGGATTTATTTCGACACAGTTGAAAATTGCTCTACTTAACTCAACTACGCAAGTTCACTAGACAAATCATAGAGCAACATGAAGCAAAAGTACTGCAGTACTTTAGATATTCAATAAAAAAATTGCTCTATTACGAGTTGACGACATCTTAGAGAAAACATGTTTGCTGTGGTAACATTCCACTTACCAACTAGAAACATATAATCCATTGTTTTATGAAAATCAAATGCAGTTCCACAACCTGTAGATTAAAGAGGTGGGAACATTAGAAAATTCAGAGAGGATAACGGGAAGTCAATTTCCTTCAATTTTGATTGTTCTAAGTAAACGTTTTCAATGATTTGTTAAAGAAATAAAAAACGCGCCGAGTGCATTGTTGAGTTATATAAGCACGCGGGAATTTTTAAGATCAAGAGAGAAGTGCGGAGAGGCACGAGCCGAATGCTCGAGGAACAAGTTTTTTTATTTCTTTCATAAAATTTATCGTGAATTGCGCGCGCTCGTACCGATGACGTAGGTTGCGTGCATTATATCTCAACAGTGCACTCGCGTGACGTAAGGCGCGTGCTTTATGGAAATATGATGAACTCGTCCTGGCCAATCATGGCGCGCGCATTTCTCTGAACATTTTACAATTCTCAATAAAATAGGATAGTTTGTCTGATGTCAAGGTACTCGTACAGAGATTAAGTGACTTCGGTTTGGAAGCAAGTGGGGAAGTAGGGAATGAAGAGACCAACTGGGATCAGAGTAGGGGGCTCGGGTCAGTGGGGTCCCGTGTGTGTGCTGCAAAATAGCAAACTAAAATATACCTAAACTTGGTAGCTGTGTGTTGTCTCCTTCTCCTTCAGGAGTGTTTCCCTGCTTCAGAGTGATAATGTCAGTGTGCCTCAGTTCACTCTAAACAACAAAACACAACAAATATTTGTCAGTGTGACAAAGATATAAAAAGTATTCGAGAGGATTATCTTTAATTCCTGTTAAAACAGAATACTAAATGTTTTGGTACATACCACAAAAGCTGAATCAACTTTAGCACAACAGGTGAAAATAACGAGACTACAAGCTACTTTGCTTCTCTTTGAGCTAGTGTACTAAGTTTACCTTTACGATCGTCCATTGTGTTATTCTGCCATCAGAGGATACGGAGAAGAAGTTCATGTTGTTGTCCAAATCGTCTTTTTGCCATTTTACCTTAAATGAAAGACAAGCAAAACGAAAACAAACATCAGAAAAATGGCGCACGTCAGGAAGAAATTCTCCTCCTTCATTCCCTTGCCAGATTAGTTTATATTTCGTCATCCTCACCTGCCAAACGGGGTCCGTATGTTTGCCCATCTTCGCTGTTGATCTGTACATCAGCTCGATCTTATTTGTTTGTTGAACGACAGTGTACACACCAACACTACCTGGATATAAAAGAGTGACAACGTACTTAGATTTTAGTGCTTTCCACAGAGAAACAAGTTTATACTAAATAATATAACTTGATTTGCATTTGATGGCCTCTGACAAGGTTGCTCATCAACTCCTACTGAAAGATTTTCAATTTAAAATACGTTACCTCCTAATGCAACTAAATTTGCACCAAGAATTAAAAAGCCAAAATTTTTCTTATATGCCGAGTATGTTTCCCTTTCCCTTATGTACATGTTTTACCGCGATTCCCCTGATTGTACGTTACTCGTATTTGACGGAAAGAAATAAAACGATCATGAAATATTCAAACCATTGCTGAACTAAACCTTGCAAATACTATTGTTTTGTTCCAAAATCTTGCCTAACTGTAGCTTTTACTTTCAAATATTAAATTGACATGAAAATACCAGGAAGTGTACCTTCACTGAATGGGATTTTGCTTACCGTCGTAGAAACCAACTGCGATGTAATTCGGATGTTCAGGATGAAAATCAAGGCACATCACGCCACTTTCTGTCTCACATATGTATCTGACAAACACAAGGTAAATGTATTAGTCATAACAGTGGAAGGAAAAACGAACGTCGAAACGGACCGAGGCATAATCATTTGACAGAAAGCTAACAATGCCATAGTCCATACTCTAGTACCACCAGTTAACAGCGACTCATCTCTGTATAGTTTTATTGTTTATTCATTATCTTCTTTATTACCATTTTTTCATAAGCTAGCAGTGAAGAGGATTAGTCTTTTCTAAGATGAACACTCACTCTGGAAATGAAGGGTTCTTCAATGTATACATTGCGACCATTCCGTTACTTTGCTTTAAAAAGTCATCTGGAATGAAGACATGAAACCCAAACGTAAGTAATTAAGGTTAAGTACACGAAATGTCAACAGGTATTTCTTTGTGCTTTTATTCGAACTCTCTGAACATGTCATACACAAAGCCTACAATTTCCTTTTTGATACATCAATATCATCCACATATTTCTCGACGGACCTACTTTCAATTGTACTTTGTGAGTCTCTCTCAATTTCAAAGAAAATTTCCATGGCAGCTGAACTTTCTCTCGATATTATCACGTTACTTAGCATATTTACTCTTCTAAACTGAAGTTCATCCATTTCATGAAGATAAATTTTACGAAAAAATCGACGTCATTTTCATAAATGCCACGCTGTCTCATTACGTCATGAAGTCACGATGTTCCAACGTCAGGATATTACGATGTTTCGATGTCATGATGTCATTAGGGCACAATATCATTAGGGCACGATGTCATGACATGATGTCAAAATGTCACGTCTCGACGTCAAAATAAATGTTACTCACACGATCCGTGTCCCACTCCAAACAAGTCGTGGTACTTAGGACTCCTACAGTGAAGAAAACATCCATATTCAGAAGCTAACTACAACTGTAATATAAAAAGATATATTCGATACATTCTGCCTCACTTTCAACAACTGAAAGGGATACAATGATCAGGAGAAGCAGACAAACCAGCAGAGTGAGGTGACGGCCATTCTCTTTGATTTCTCAAACGAAAATTTCCACAGCGGCAACAGTGTCCCCTCCTGGTCCTTAAACTCATCGGCGGCGTCTTCCCAGTATTTGAAATCTGATGGCAAAAAATTGAAAGCGATGATATTTTCAAACAGCACTACATAGAATGTAAGACATCAAAATTTTGCACGAACTCCACACAAGATAAATGAATGCTTAACTTCAAAATCCGAGTCATGAATGGTACGTTCTGAGACTAACAAAAGTAGAAGGAACACCATTTGCATGGTTTGAAAAATAAGTCAGAATGGGAATAATGGTAAAGGAGAGAACTCTGAAAGTTTAAAACTACAACAATACAAGGTAATTCATAGGCAGCTATAACAGGTTCAAAGTCTGAGGACTACGTTATCCCAACAGAATAGCATGGATTCAGATACCATCGGCATCCAGCACCTTGTAATAACACGCTCTCAACTTCAAGGGTCAGCTACACACTTGAGGTTATCTCTTAGCGCGCTCTACTTTTTGATTTATGCAATCTGTATCGCGAAAGCCGCGCAAATGAAAATCACAACCACCATTCCGAAAACGCCTTCGACGACATTATGAATTATGAGTGACGTGAATTGTTAAGTTAAAGATTCGTCTAACCTTGTGCAATTTCATCATATGTGTTCTGGTTTATCATTCTCTCCACTATCTTGCACGGTTTGGAAATCCTTGAAATATCATCACCCTGAATATAAAAATAAAGTCTGTGCATTAGTTATAAGGTGGACATCCAGTCCCACTTCTTGGATCAAATGAACCACTTGGTTAGTAAAGTTACGTGGAAGAGGTCTCTAAGCTAAGATACAGATCTAGAGGTCCCAGATCCCAGGCGCTCAGACACTATGCTGGAAGGATTACATACAGGTGCCACCTAACTTTCAATGGAACCCCACCAGAGGCTAGCAGAGGGTAGAAATGGTCTGCACTGCTTAATTTGGATAAAACTGGAACCACGATTCAAAGAACTGGAGCGCGACGCTTGTGAAACTTAGGTTAACTTTCCGCAAAGATGATCATTTGCAGTACAAGCTAACTAACCTGCACTTCAACTTGCATGAGCTTTTTCTTTTTGTCGTCGTCTTTCTTGAAGGTTTGGGTCTTTCTGCTTTCCTTTTCTTTCATTTTTTCCTGAAATACGATTATTTCAAATTACGATAAAGCTTCTTCAAGACTAAGAGTCATCATTTGTGAGGTAGTCTAACGTATTTGAGCAATAGTCGACGGAGTAAAACAGGCTTTGGTTGAAACGTGGGCTTCTACAATGTAGCAAGTTGAATATTTCATATTTGCTCCACGTATCACTTATGACATAACAGAACTGACGTTGTTCATTCATTTATCTCTTTATCTATTCATTTATTTATCATTTGTTTATCTATTCACTCACTGTTATTATTATTATCAGTTTAAACATACAGACTCCTTCTCTCGCGTGCTACTCGCAATTCGCTTACTTTTTCAATAAAAATATGTTGAAGAAATTTGAAAATGAAACTAAAATAACTATTAGTTTCAGATTCTCACCTGTCTTTGCAAATCCTCAACGTATGCATCATAAATTTCCCACTGAAAGGACATGAGAAATTGTGGAAGTAAGCACTGGTGAAGTACTAGATTAGCAGAAATTTTTCTTAAGTGCTCAAGAATGACTCCATCAAATTTTCCGCTTTGGTCCAAAATTTTTTTAATACCGATTAGCAGAATTACCGTAATGATTCGATTTAAGCACTCGGGCGCTTATCTACTAATGGTACGTCTAGGGCGCTAATTCCAAACAAGGCGCTAATCACGGACAGGGCGCTCATTTCTTTTTCGAAAAACAGCACAATGAGCGGAAAAAAGCTTTGATGTTTATTTGAAAAGGAACGATATCAAAAACTGTAAAAGTAACAAATGGACAGTGAATCTTCGTGTAATAATGGTAAGGAGTGTACTCTAACTCTACCTGATTAGCAGTGGCTGAGAAGTTTGCCCTTGGTGGAGGTTCAGTTGAGGTTCCACGTTCCTTGAAAAAAAAAACCAATAAATAAACAAAATAGTGCAAGTACGAAGAGGTAGAAACAAATTTCAGTGTACAGGTTTATCCAACAATGTTCTTCGCAACCGATTTTGGAATGTCAAGCAACGCCACGGACCCTTCCCTCCCCCTGTCAAACTCGTTGTATCCCTTGGAAACAGGACATGACAGCGAAAGAACAGCAATACGTTGAGACAGCGATAGTCTGCTTTAGGTGAAGAAATACGTGAAACTGCATTCTAACACATGACGTCCAGTAAGAAACAGTATTAACTGCTTATGGTCAATATATTAAATTTTAGACTTCTATTAAAAACTGAAAAAACTGACACTGAGATAACATAAATGGAAAAACATGCCGGCGACATTTCTGGTGAAGCAAGCAGGTAACTGTAACCTGTTTTGTTTACAAAAAATGTTGGCTATATGAAAGACAGACAGAGAGAGAGAGAGTTCCTGATACAATTTGTGCCCTTTTTTTTAAGTTGACCAACTTACTCTGTAAGGATTGTTGTAAGTCTGTGAAGCTCTCTCACTGAAGTTAAACTGGTTCGTCAACTTTGCTTCACTCTTTCCACCCACAGAGGCAGACGAGTCAGGTCGAACTTCTTCCGCTGGTTTTTCCTGAACCAAAATAAATTCAAAGTTGTAAGTTTTACTCGTGTTTCGTCGTTTTCTTCCATAAACTTTGTCTCTTTCTTCTTGGCTCTGCGATAATGGAGCCTTAAGATGTCTAGAGACAACTGAGGAGTTTGGTCAGAAATTTAGTATGTCGGCAATGTTACAAAAGAGTCTTTTTTCCAAGCGATTAAGGGCCGGTCATTTAAACGTTGTTTAGCCGTTGTTTAAACAAAACCGCGTTCTAAGCCATTTTTAATTAAGCCGAACCTTTCATCTGATTATTTACTTTTGTGAACAGTGTCAAGAGAGCTGAAAGCTACCAGTGAAAGGACATTTATTTAATTAAATCAACCCTCTTATAGAGAATCCCTGAGACCCACTGATTGCGTAAAACCGCGGTTTGGAGTTTCCCTCGTGTAAATAACCGGCCCTAATAGTTTATGTCCGACGACTGTTCTATGATTTTAGGTCACCATATGGTGACTTTGAAGAAAAGTTGAAATGTGGAATATGTCTTAATGAAACGAAGAATGCATCGTATACAGTAATTTGCCAAAATTCAGTCTAGATTACAAAATCATGATTAAAAATTGAGACAAATCACCTCTACTGCCTCAACTGCTTTATTTTCTTTGTCTTCTTCTTCACCAGCTTCCCCAGCGTCATGTTCAGCTATAAGGACAGGAAGGAATTTGTCACCAAAGACACACTATACCTACATGTTATAATCAGTCTATCTAAAAAATTTCTGGCAGTGTGTTGAGCAAGCTCCTCTGGTATCAAAGGTAATTTAGTATCATTAACTGAGTTTATAATGTAAATTGACCACCGTGAAGACTTTCAAAGATGACCTTCGAGCGTTAGCCCTTCGCCATTCGATCTGACGAAGGGCTAACGTTCGAAACGTAAGCTTCGAAACTCTTTACGGTCGCCAATTTACGTTATCAACTCAGTTCATAATACCAAATTACCTTGTTACACTCACCCATCGACGCAGCAACACAGTTACTTAAAAAAAAATTACCCCCTTTATCCTCCAATATTCAGATTGACCATCATTCCAAATTCAAGTAAAACAAACAATTTCGGAGTGAACTTCCAATAGTATTCAGTGAGAGGAAGGCGCTTTCTTCCAAAGTCATAGTAACTGATATACAACAACCAAAGAAGAAAGAGCGTTCAATCCCCGATCCTCAAAACAGCAACGCTTTCTCCCTTTTCATTCTTGATTGAAACACTATTATAGCCAAGAGCTTTCGAAAACATAAAATTATCCACCACAATATAAGAAATGGTGCAGATCCTCCAATTATTTCCTTCATCGCATCTCTATTAATTATAAAAATCTGAATTATTTAACTATCAAGAACATTTAGAAAAATAATATCAGCCCAATGTATGTGCACATACATTGGGCTGATATTGTCTTTCTAATTGTTCTTGTTCAATAAATTTTGCTCAGTTTGTCACATAATTCTTCAAGGGGCTAAGTTCCTACAAGCAACTTGCAATAATTTACAAGGTAAACTAGGTTTGAAAAGTTCTAAGGATCCTGTACCCTCATGAGAGTCATTTTTCAATCAATGGTCTATGAACAATGTCCCATGGCAAGCATTTCAAATTGTTCATTTAACCCCATACTGATACAAGTACATCCACAATTTCACTACCTGTATGATTGCAAAGCAAAACTTAAAGAGAGAAATGACTCACAGCTGCTATCTTCATTATTGTAGACAATAAAGGTACATTTCTTAAAGGTCAAGTGTACTGGTGACATTAGTAACAAGTCAATAACAGATTAAACAATAATATTTCAAGAATAAAAGCATGACAAGCAACTGAATCAAAGGAAACTAACAAACTCCATGCAATGGAATTGATGACTGACCAGCACTTCCTGATCTGTTTGCTGATAAATTAGAATTTATTTAGGAGGTAACTTAATTTTGTATGAATGTCAAAGAACAAAGGAATATGAGGTGTGATTTAAATTTTCTTCATTTCCAAGGGCATTCTCAAATTTTGTTATTCTTTATCTTAAAATTAACAAAAGCAAACTTTTTTCCCCCTAGCCAAGGAAAAAAATATAGGTATGTTTGCCTATGCACTTTAAAGAGAAATTTGAAAAAATGTTTAATAGGCAAAAGTCTTAGAGTGGAACTGTGTGTGTTAACAAATTTAGCAATTATAGTTAAAACAATTAAATAATCTATAGGTAAATAGCACCAAGTGCCTTTTCTTGATCCACAAGAATCTTGTGGATCTTTCAAGCCTTTGTTGTAAGAATCCTCTTAGTTGGTTAGGAAAAATTTGAGTGAAGCTTAAGTGAAAAACATCATGATATTAAACCAAATTTCCATCAATCAATCTCCTAACTAAAGTATAATTATTTAAAGAGATTACTACAAAGAGTTTAGAAACAAATATTTGCATGTTATCATCAGAATTTAGTTTTTATAGACTCTTAACTCTGTAATTTTTATTTATCAAAAATTACGAGTTAATAGTGTTATTTCTTGAGTAGTAATTATAAATATTAAGCCACACTTTTGTGAAAATCATGCAGTTGATAAATATTGCTACTCACAAACAGAGCTCAATGGCCTCAGGAAGTCATCAAAGCCTTACAGGTTAATGGGCAAGAACAAGATGGAGTTAGCCTTTAAAATTCATACAACATAATACTGTTGAATAATATTAGTAAAACGAATGATGTGGATATTTCTCTACACTAAACCTGTTACTTCTTTTAGCTCTGTGTCAAAATAAATTCTTGTGGTTAATGACATGGTATTCAAAAAACTTTTACAAATAATGCCTAGAATTTATGTCATTATTTTTTTTAAAAAATTAATGTGAAACAGATTGTGTACAAAAATATTCATATAATCTTTTTATATTAGAAGAAGTCAATTATTATATAATATTTCAAAAAAAAAAAATTTAGCAAAATTTATGTTAAGCTAATAGTGTGTACACTTTTATAAAAGAAGCAAGTGGCAAAAATTTCCCACTTTACTTCTCTCAAAGGCATTCCACCAAATTGCTTAGCTATATACAACATGAATTGGAACAAAGTAATAAAGTATTATTGTGTTTATCTTTAAACCTCTTCCACAGTGGCAGGAATGATTTTTGTTATTTTATCCATATGCAGATAAGTTTTATTAGCTTCAGTTTGAATGGGAGTTTGATTGGTTTTACACAAATTGATGTTAAACAAGAAAAGCTAATTTCTTTGTATATAAAAACATACCAATCCCACAGATCATTGATGAAAGAGGTTTATTTGAACTTCATAATTTCAAAGGAATGAATCCCGGCTCAACCTAAAGTGGTTTTTTAATTTTTCACAGGTAGTTTAATACTTCTTAACCTACCTTCCAGTCCTTGCCTTGCTCTTTGTCTCCTGGCTTCATCTGAGTCTTTATGAAGCATGTTCCTTCAAAAAAATTCATTGTTCATGACCATTCAAATACATTTTCTACATCCAAAATTTTGTATGGTGTTATTCCAGAGGGAGTATACCCTTTTCATACTCAGATGTAAATTGTATGCCTCTTCATGTCCTGGTCCTATTTCACTCCCAATTCCAGACCCTGGTTTCAGAGAGTTTGTAAATCAATCATCATGTTAATGAGTATCAGCCTTCAGTTTAGCTCCATGTGTTGATCTGGCCCATCTCATAATCTTTCTTTGGAGATTTATGGGATCGATTTTGTTTTGGACAAACATGTATATGTGATGACTACAACTCAAGAACAACTGTATCAGGGAATGTGCATGAGTCTATGCATTAATGCAGCCTAAATACCCCTTAATTCTAGGGAATACTTTGTAAGTGTGTATACACACTCCTAAAGTAGCTAACTAACAGAAACAATCCCAAGTAAATAAAACAGTCTCCTACCCATCAAGAGCAAAGTGAATTGCCAGCTGATCCACACTTGATGTTGGTTTATAGCATTTTTCCTGCGTATGAAAAAAAGAACATGTCTTCTCTATCCTAAATATTAACAAAGAAAGAAACTTACAAGTATTTTTTTGCTACAATGTATATGAATGTATTTTTAAAAAGAAACCATATCCACACACTTTCAGAGTTGAGAAGTCAATTACATCTACAGGTGAGGGTGTCAATCACTGTGATGATGGAGTGGAAGGAACCTTTTCTTTATGTCATCTCACTGTTTCATTGAACAAGTGCTTTCTGATTTATGCCAATGTGCATGCTGATATTTTTCAGATTAAATTTTTCCCAGTGCACGTAAAAGTGGTACACTGGTAGTAGTTTGATTACACACTTTCCTTTCTTCAATGATCATGATATGTAATGCACTTAGACCAAATCAAACTACATGTGTTCTTTTTATTCCTGAAATTCATTTTAAACTACAAACATATATTTTCAGAGCTTACTCTGTAATTTCCATAGGTTTGTTTTGAGAGTGGAAATAAATATTGGAAAAAATTCTTACCTTGAAACTGTAGCGCACTATGTTGCTTGGAGCATGGGGGTTGTTTGCAGTCAAGATTCTGGTAAACTCCTCTTTCAACTCTGCCTCTGTCAATTCTAGCTGGTCATCTGGCTTGATTAGCTGTTTGGGCTGGAGTAAAAAATTAAATTTTGATGTAATGATTGTAGGAAGAAAAACTGGTTCTCACTTTAGATGAATGATCAGTGACTAACTACTGTACATTTATAGCTGGCTACTTTGATGTGGACAATGACAATAAGAAGGAATTATTTATGATACCAAAAACATGACCAAGCTGAAGATACCTGCATCCATTCATCCAAGTCATCTCCTATCTGTGTAGCATCATCATCATCCTAGAAAAATAAAAATAACCATTCATGTGTCAGTGTGTAAATGTACATGTACTTGCAGTATTGATGTATAGAGAGTAGAGGAAATTGAAAATGCATTGCTTGTCTCTTTTATACCTTTTAACCTTCATTTACTATGAGAGAAAGGTTTATTAACCCCATTGTTCCCATGAGTGACCAAGACAGAATTTCTCCTTACAATATCAACCAATTTTATAGCAAAAGGGTGATGAGAGGTGATTTAGTAAAATATCACCTTAGGAAAGTGCCAAATTCTCAGAGCTAAAACTCAAGAAGAGCATTGCAGACAGTGCAGAGAACTGACATTTTTATCTTAGGAGTGAATTTAAAGGTTAATTAAGTGCTAGATTCTCTATGCACTAGCCACTAAAGAGGTAAAAAAACAAATTGCAAACCTTTTTCTTTGTTTTGACAGCAGCAGTTTTGCTGACAGACTTCACAGCTGCATTTGAAGGTGTGACTCCTGGTTTCTTATCCTTTCAGGATAAAACATGAACACAACCACTCAGAGTAATTTTTAAAAGCCAACGGTAATCCAGGATTATTAGGAATCTTGCACTTAACATCATCGACCAAAAAAGTGAAACTTAATAATTACCCAACCATGATCTTAGCTTTTCAGGTTTTCCTGTAGTTCTAGCAGGTTAAAATTGCCCAATGTGAGTCCTTATGTTTCTTTCTAGTATATAACATTTGTTCTGATTTGTATGTATTTATGATGTTATCTAAGGTTAATATTTTTCAAGAGGTCGAAAGAAAATTTGACTCCATGATGAGAAACTAGTGACAACTAGAAAATCCTGACTGTTTCTCATAATAAATCAAGATGAGAGCTAGATGACAAATGCTGTGCTCAAGACAGTTGGCTGTTGATGATTCGTAGTTTGGAGGAGAAATATTTTCAGCTTAAGATCAGGACACTAGGAGATTTACGCGCTGCATGCTTTCAGTGTAATTTTCCCACAAAGAAATGCATCATCTTGCAATATATGAAGTTTTATTTGCACGATTATGAACGATTAATCGCCTGTAATGCGAAATCACCATCATTGGCCACTGTTACTTGAAAACGACTTGCTTCAAAACAGACATGGCGGACAGCAAGGAGTAACATGACGACGCAGCCAAAAAAAAGAGGGTAAACTCACCGCTTTCGCAGCCTTGACGTTTCCTTTCTTCATAACGTTGAAAAAAGTATTCAGAGGTTACTTTTTCCGACTTTAAACAGCAAAATCAAACGCAACAAACCGCGTTATCAAGACTCACTTTTTAACAAGGTAAGTTAGTGTTACCCTGGTAACAGGCCTTGGCTACCAAGCTCAGGCGAGGTTACAAAGTAGCAATATGGCAGACGAATCAACCTGCGAACGGGAGAAGGATCTATCTGACAGTGACTCTTGTGAGAGCTTTCAGGACTCAGAAGAAGCGCCTGATAGACTCTCAACTTCATCAAAGCAAAGTTCACTAAAAGATTCAAAAGCGATCTCTTCAAAAGTCAAGAAAGATTGGAAAAGGAGGTTTCGCTATTTATCGTACAAGGACTTTTTGGTTCAAACGAGGTCGTTGATCAGCATGAACGATAAATCAATCGTTAAAGACATTTCTGCAACTGCGTCAGAGAAAATTAAAAGGAGAGACGAGGAAGCGGAAAGTATATATGCAGATGACAAAGGGTATTTTCGGGGAGAAATTTTCCAAGAACTGGAAAGTGATGATAACATTGGTTTTGCTGGTGACGTCTGCAAGCAGCTGAATCTGTTGCCAAATATGGACGTCTCTGATCATGAACCAACTACAATAGATGATGGTTCTTTAAGGACCGATTTGCAGACAGACTCTTTTACTCCAGAGATTGTCGTTGTTC